TTCTCTTGCCTCAGCCTCCTGAGTAGCTGGGATTACAGGCACGCGCCACCATGCCCAGCTGATTTTTTTAATTTTTAGTACAAAGTTTCACTATATTGCATAGGCTGGTCTCAAACTCCTGAGCTCAAGCAATCCGCCTGCCATCTTCTCTCCAAGTGCTGGAGTTATAGGCTTGAGCCACCACACCCAGCCTATAAGGTATTTTAAAACCCACACGCTTTTATATTTCTTTTTTTTTTTTCTTTTTAAGATGGGGTTTCGCCATGATGGCCAGGCTAGTCTTGAACTCCTGACCTCAGGTGATCCACCCACCTCGGCCCCCCAAAGTGCTAGGATTACAGGAGTGAGCCACCACGCCTGGCCACTGTTTTATATTTCTAACATAGGTTAGGATACTATTCTCCATGAAATAGGGTACAAGTGTGTGAAATGCAGATAAGAATCCTGTCCCCGCTGGCCTGACAGGGAAGTGAGCACTTCCTATGGCAGATTATATAAGAAAATACTCCTCAGGCAGATGCTTATGAAGACTCTGGGCGCCTGTAGGTGAGTGAGAGAGCCCTTGTTTTCTTCCATGTGGAAGGAAAATCCAGTGCCTAGGTGAGATGTTAAGAAATTTAAAAGGGGCTGGGTGTGCTGGCTCATACCTATAATCCCAGTACTTTGAGAGGCCAAGGCAGGTGGATCACGAGGTCAGGAGTTCCAGACCAGCCTGGCCAACATAGTGAAACCCCATCTCTACTAAAAATATAAAAATTAGCCGGGCGTGGTGGCAGGTGCCTGTAATCCCAGTTATTCTGGAGGCTGAGGCAGGAGAATTGCTTGAAACCGGGAGGCAGAGGTTGTAATGAGCTGAGATCGCACCACTGCACTGCAGCCTGCGTGACAGAGTAAGATTCCATCTCGAAAAAAAAAAGTTAAAGACTGTGGGCTGAGGGCCACATTCATTTGCAGTTAGAGATTTGTTTTACTTTCAACTGCTTCTCTAAGAAATGTTTTGATAATTTATTCTATCTGATGGAAGTAGTAGAATAATCCCAGTATATGTCAAGGCATGGCATAATTTTGTTATATTTTATCCAGAATTTGTGATCAGTAATGTAATATTTAATTTTTTTTATTTAGAGACATTTGTAAAACCACACAAAAGTAGAGAAAATCGTTTAATCAACCCCATGTACCCAACGTCCAATTCTGACAGTTATCAAGGTGTTGCCACATTGGCTTCTGTTCCTTTTTTCTTTTCCTTTCTTTTGCTGAAGTATTTTAAAGCAAATCCCGGGGCCGGGCACAGTGGCTCACACTTGTAATCCCAGCACTTTGGGAGGCCAGGGTGGGCGAATTGCAAGGTCAGGAGATCGAGACCATCCTGGTCATGGTGAGACCTGTCTCTACTAAAATACAAAAAAATAGCCGGGCGTGGTGATGTACCTGTAGTCCCAGCTACTCAGGAGGCTGAGGCGGGGAATCACTTGAACCTGGGAGATGGAGGTTGCAGTGAGCTGAGATCGTGCTACTGCGCTCCAGCCTGGCGACAGAGCCAGACTCTGTCTCAGAAAAAAGAAAAGAAAATCCCAGACCTCATGACATTTTCCCCTACATTAAGTATGCATCTCATTCTTTTTTTTTTTTAATTAATTTATTTTTTTTTCTAAAAAAAAAGAAAGAAAAAAAAGAATTAAAAAAAAAGAATGAAGGAGAGGAAGAAAGAGAAAGAGGAAGAGGGAGAGAGAACGGGGGTGTTGCTTTATTGCCCCGGCTAGAAAGCAGTCCAAAAATGGGTATGCCTATAATTGTGCTTAATAATAGAGACATGAAAAAAAAAAATGAGGGAAGAAAACAACAAGCAGCCAACCAATATTTCATTTAAACCTGTAAATAGATGTGATGTCGTACTGATAAGTGTGTATATTTTGTGCATCCAAAGTGGAGAGTTCTATAAATGTTAAGTTTACTTGTTCCGGATCTGAGTTCAAATCCTGGATATCGTAGTTAATTTTCTGTCTTATTGATCTGTCTAATATTGATGTTGAAGTCTCCCACCATTATTGTGTGGGAGTCTAAGTCTCTTTATAAGTCTTATATATCTGGGTATTCCTGTATTGGGTGCGTATATATTTAGGATCTTTAGCTCTTCTTGTTACATTGATCCTTTTATCATTATGTAATATCCTTCTTTGCTTCTTTTGATCTTTGTCGCTTTAAAGCAACTCCTGCTTTTTATTTATTTATTTATTTTTGCTCTCCATTTGGTCGGTAAATCTTTCTGCATCCCTTTGAGTCTTTGTGTATCCTTGCATGTGAGATGGATCTGGATGCAGCATACCGATGGGTTTTGGCTTTTTTTTGCCTGTCTGTGTCTTTGGATTGGGGGATTTAGTCGATTTAAATTTAGAATTAATAATAATATATGTGAGTTAATACTGCCATTTAATGTTAGCTGGCTGTTTTGCCTATTAGTTGATGTAAATTCTTGATTATGTTGATGCTCTTTACTTTTTGGTATGTTTTAGAAAGGCTGATACTGGTTGTTCCTTTCTATGTGTAGTGGTTCTTTCAGAAGCTCTTGTAAAGCAGGCCTAGTGGTGATGAAATCTCTGAGTGCTTTCTTGTTCACAAAAGATTTTATTTTTCCTTCGCTTATGAAGCTTAGTTTGGCTGGATGTAAAATTCTGGGTTGAAAGTTCTTTTCTTTAAGGATGTTGAATATTGGCCCCCACTCTCTTCTAGCTTGTAGGGTTCTGCTGAGAGATCTGCTGTGAGTCTGATAGGCTTCCCTTTATGGGTAACCCGACCTTTCTCTCTGGCTGCCCTCAGTATTTTCTCCTTCATTTCAACCCTAGTGAATCTGGCCATTATGTGCCTTGAGGTTGGCCTTCTTGAGGAATATCTTTGTGGTGTTCTCTGTATTACGTGGAAATGAATATTGTCCTGCCTTGCTAGGTTGGGAAAGTTTTCCTGAATAATATCCTGAAGCTTATTTTTCAGCTTGGATTGATTCTCTTTGTCACATTCAGGTACACCTATCAAGCACAGATTAGGTCTTTTCACATAGTCCCATATTTCTTGGAGACTTTGCTCGTTCCTTTTTATTCTTTTTTCTCTTGTCTTGCCTTCTCTTATTTCATTGAGTTCATCTTCAATCTCTGATATCCTTTTTTCTGCTCGATCGATTCAGCTGTTAAAACTTGTGCATAGTTCACGAAGTTCTCATGTTGTGTTTTTCAGCTCCATTAATTCACTTATATTCCTCTCTAAATTGTGTATTCTTGTTAACATTTCGTCAAACCTTTTTTCAAAGTTCTTAGTTTCTTTGCATTGGGTTAGAACAAGTTCTTTTAATTCACAGAAGTTTCTTAGTATCCACCTTTTGAAGGCTGCTTCTGTTAATGGAACACACTCGTTCTCCATCAGGCCTTGTTCCGTTGCTGATGAGGAACTGTGATCCCCTGTAGAGGGAGAGGCGTTCTGATTTTGGGTATTCTCAGGCTTTTTAGGCTGTTTTCTTCCCTTCGTTATAAATTTATCCATCTGTGGTCTTTATAATTACCGTCTTTGTAACTGGGTTTCTGAGTGGACGTCCAACTTGTTGATTCCCAGCGCTAAAATCTGAGCAACCCACTGCGCCGGCCAAAACAGCAGCATTATGATTGATGGTGCTTTTCTGACTCTGCACCAAGAACCACTGTACCAAGGCAGCGGCAAAACCGCCTCACCAGCTGCAAGACTTGCGCTGGCGACCCGTGGGGCTCCTCCGCTGGGAATCTCCTGGTGGGTGAGCAACAAAAATTCGTCTGAAAGTGTGGCGTCCTCTCATTCTCTGCGCTTTCACTGGGAGCTACAATCCCGAGCTGCTAGTGATCAGCCATCTTGAATCTCTCTGCATCTCATTCTTTTTTTTTTTTTTTTTGAGACGGAGTTTCA